CCACCCGACCCGGCCGGACCGGACCCGACCCACGGGGATCGGCCCACTGGCGGGGGAGGGCGCGGATGGGGTCCCCCCGGACAGGAAACGCGGGCGCCTCCGGGGGCGGTGGCACGGGCTGGGGCGGGCTGGGGGGCGGGCCTTCACCTCGCTCTTTCCCCCCCCTCCCCGCCCCCCTTAGTCTTCGCAGGCACTGGAGACCCGGACGGGGATTTTTGGCTCCGATTGATGTGTTTACACATAAATTAGAATACGCCGCAACTGCAAACATGCCGTTGACGCTGTTGCAGGACTGGTGTAGAGGGGAGCATCTGAACAGCCAGCGCTCCATGCTGATCCTGGGCATTCCGGAGGACTGTAGTGAGGATGACTTTCAGGAGACTGTCCACGCGGCTCTCAGGCACCTGGGAAGATACAGGGTCATCGGCAGGATGTTTAGGAGGGAGGAGAACGCCCAGGCTTCTCTACTGGAATTTGCAGAAGATTTTGACTGTTCTTCCGTCCCCAGAGAAATAGTAGGCAAGGGGGGGCCCTGGGAGGTGATTGTCGAACCTCCTAATTCAGATGGTGAATTTCTTACTAGATTGAACCACCTGTTAGAGGAGGAGAGGAGAACAGTGTCAGACATTAACAGAATCCTTGGATCCTATACTAATTCTACTCCTAGACTGGCTTTTAACCCAGAAGTTTGGAACTGGGCCCAGACCCTGGAGGTCACAGTTCAGCCTCTGCTAGAACAAATGTTGTATCGAGAGCTAAGAGTGTTTTCTGGGAACACTGTAGCTGTCCCAGGGATGTCAGCCTTTGAAGCCTGGTTTGAGCATGCCACTGACATGTTACAGATGTGGCAAGTGCCTGAGATGGAAAAAAGGCGCAGGCTGATAGAGTGCCTTCGAGGCCCTGCTCTGCAGGTGGTCAGCGTGCTTCGGGCAAATAATGCTGGCGTTACGGTAAAGGAGTGCCTGCAGGCTCTGCAGCAGGTGTTTGGGCCAGTAGAGAATGGCAAAATGGCTCAGATAAAATTTTGTAAAGCCTATCAGGAGCCAGGAGAGAAAGTCTCCAACTTCGTGGTCCGTTTGGAGCCACTGCTCCAAAAAGCTATTGAAAAAAAGGTCATACCACGGAAGAATGTGAATCAGACTCGCCTGAAACGAATTTTAGGTGGAGCCACTCTCACTGACACACTTCGAGACAAGCTTAAGCTGATGAAACAGCGCAGGAAGCCACCAGGTTTCCTGGCACTGGTGAAGCTCCTGCGGGAAGAGGAGGAGTGGGAGGCTACCATGGGTCCAGAGAGGGAGTTCCTGGAAGGGCTGGAATTATCCCCAAGATCACCAAATCGAGTCAGTGGGTTCGGGCCTTTTGTCCCTACCTCTGACCAGAGTGTGGAGACCTGGCCTTCCCAGGGCTCCCTGCGCCGACGCCGCCGTGGCAGGAGGGGCAGCAGAGGTGGGAAGGGAAGTGTGCTGGGAGCTGGCTCTGGAGATGCAGGAAACCGGAACCATCACACATTCTGCTACAGTTGTGGAGAAGATGGCCACATCAGGGTACAGTGCTTCAACCCCTCCAACCTGCGCTTGGTGAAGCAGAAGAAGCAGGCTGCAATTGCAAAGTTGGGAAACGGAAACCGGGCTTGAGATAAGAGCCAACCCAAGCCCCAGGCCAAGTAGGCTCCAGAGAAGAAGGCACCCACTTTTACCACAGGTTAAGCAGACAAAAGACATACTGGAAAAATGGAAAGGGGCAGTCCAGACAAATAGCAGGAGACTTGAGGGGGGCAGAAGGGCACAGCTGCCAAGCCCAGGCCAGACCCCCTCACCCTTCACCAGCTGCCACCAACCAAGACCAAATGGCACCCAACTCTTTGGAGGCCACACACAGGGACCCCATGAAGTGTCAGGGACACATGCAAGAAACGGACCCTCCTGGCCCAGAAGGCATCAAAAACTCCACTATAGGACTCAATGAAGCAGAGGCCCAAGATAGTGAGGCTGGGGGCTGTGGTCTGGGTGTCAACCCAGTGACATGGCCACCTCCAGATGCCCACCATGGAAGCTCTGATTTAAGCCTACTCACTAAATGTGAGGTTGCATTGGGCATAGACAGGCCTGCCCCAGCCAGAAAGAGCCAGTGCTGCAGGACACAGAGAGAAGACGCCAGATGGAAAGCCCAGGCTGCAGCTTGTCTTCACAATCATCCACACTGCTCCAGGGGAAGCCCAGGAGGGCCGAATCCTGGAGCCCCTGTGTGAGTAAAACCTGGGTCCCTAGACCCAAAGACCCTGGGAGGCCAGAGCCACCCAGAGGCAGTTTCCTCCCCTGCAGCCTGACAAGGCTGTGTGGGAAGATTCACGAGACCACCCCCTCTCCCCACTTACAGGGACACGGGACTCTCCCTGGGACAGTTCTGTAGAACTGCTGTGGGAAGGAGTGGGTGTGTTGGGCAGCCTTTGTTCTAACAGAAGCAGCAGAGGAGGGAGGACGTGGCGTGGGGTCGTTTGGTTCTTTTTGTTCCTGCAGGGAGACTGCAGAACCGGAGATAACGAGCAGGGAGTTCCAGAGCCTGGCATGGCAAGTTACAACTTAGCAGCTGATAAGGCCAAGACCAGCTCAAACCCTGCCAACTTGGATGGCTGAGCTGGAGGCATCTTCTAAGACACCAGCCTACATAAGGGTGCCTGGAACTCATATGGGAGAAGACACCATTTGAAAACTGCCAGCTGCCTGCCTCTCCCCAGACAGGCTACTTCCTTTCCTGGATAAGCCCACCCTTACCTGTAGGCCCCTTCGTTACCCCAGCTGTCAGACAAGAGCCTGCCCCCCACACTAACCACCCTTCCTGTGCAGAGGTATGAGGTGTGTGTCAAGCCCAGGCAGAGGCCCTTACTCACCTGGCCAGCCACTTCAAGGTCTGAGCACAGGCCATGAGCTTCCTCCCATGGCGTCCAAGCTCCTCTTTTTGTCCAGTGTCATGAGCTCAACTTCTGCTTTCTTGGTCTAGATCTAGAACAGCAGCCTTGCCGCTGGTTCTCATGGACCTGTGTGCACATGTGTGGGTTATATTCTTCTCTGAGCAATTCCGCCCCAGAGTCCCTGAGCCCAGTCCCAGGAGCCATTGGGAAAGATGGACGATGAGGAGTGCTCTTCTGTGACCTGAATTTTAAATTTGGGCAAGAAGACCCAGACCAGGGATTTGTGGGTTGTCTTGATGACTGTATTTTGATGTTTTGTTCCTGTGGCTCATTGTGACTCAGTTTCCTTTGCCCAGTGGGGGTATTTTCTGCTGTTCTTTCTAGCATCTCAGAATTGTCCTGTGCTGACCATGGGCAGGGTCAGCCCACAGTGGGTGATCCTGAAGACAGCTGTGGAGAGTTCCTCTCTTTGCTTTCACTCTTTTTCTCAATGGTTTCAGCAAACATTTTTATTATATAAATGTCATTAATGTTTTTACTGTGTCCTGCCTCTGCTTGGATGAGTTGGGTTGGATCGAGGGGTCAAAGCACCTGGATTAACCAGGCACTGGTAGCTCATGCCTGTAATCCTAGCTGCTGAGGAGGCTGGAATCTGAGGATCACAGTTTGAAGCCAGTCATGAGATTCTTATCTCCAATTAATCATAAAAAAAGCTAGAAGTAGCTCGGTGGTTCATGTGGTAGAGTGCTAGCCTTGAGCAAAAGGAGCTCAGGAACTGTGCCCTGACCCAGAGTTCAAGCCCCAGGATCACACACACACACACACACACACACACACACAAAACAAATAAAAAACAACAAACAAAAACGGACTGGGCTAATTTTGAGAAATATGTTGGGCAGGGTTCACAAGAACTGTGGAGTGTCCTAAATGCAGAGGTGCTCACAACTCAGAAATAATGGTTTATAGAGTCAAAGAAGTCCAGCTGAACAAGTTGGCAGTTGACAGGGCATTAATGGATATAGGTAATGATCTCTGAATCACCGAGGTACCAGGGAGCTCCTCAAAAGTAAGTAGGCAGGCATGACATTAAAGGTACAATGGGTGTCATCAGGCTGCAGCAGATGGCTCATGTTTGCTAGTACTGCTGGTGGAACTCAGGGCATCGTATCTGGAGTGTCAGCCTTGTTCCTTGTATGTGAATATGTGTGAGGTGATGTATGAAAATGTGTGAACTTCTGAGTTACTGATTGAATAGCAGTGGATATTATATTAGCTTATGTTAGATAGTGGATATTATGAATGAGTATTTCAGTTAGTGAGACAGTATGCTAATGACTATGCTTGTGTGAATATATTAGGAGTTTAAAAATACATTTCAGTATGGGTAAGTGAATGTGAATATGTGAGTGTGTGAGATGATCTGTGAATGAATATATTGTCCAATTGATTATGTATATACCTTCAAGTGTGAATGAATGTGTGCACTGGTACAAGTGTTTTTATGAGTGTTAATGTGTGTAAATAGATGTGTGATAGTAAAGTAACATTGTAAAAATACACATGATTATTTTGAGTATATGTGTGAGTGCATGTGTATACATATAAGTAAATGTGTGAACATACATGAAGTTGTGCTTGTGAGTAAATCCATGGGAATTTGTTTGAAGGTACATGTTGAATGACTGGAGAATCAAAAAGACAAAACATTACATACAGGATGCTAGAAGTCTGATTAAGGTGCCAGGAAGATTCATGCCAGCTAGAAGATCTGAGGGAGAATCCGTTGCATTCCTTTCAGCCTATCTCTGGGGGCCTTGGGCTTTCCTTGGCATGAAATACTATCTGAGAAAATTTCACATGACATCTGGCCTCCGTGGATGTCTGTATTTGTGTGCAAATTGTCCCTTTCAAAAGAACATCAGTCATTGGATCTGGGACCCATCGTTCTCTAGTTTGACCTCATCTAAATTTAACTAATTAAATCTACAGTGATCCTATCTCCAAATAAGGTTGCATCCTAAGGCAAGGCAGGACTTCTTTCTTCCTTTCTTCTTCCCTTTCTCTTTCTCTTTCTTTCTTTCTTTCTTTCTTTCTTTCTTTCTTTCTTTCTTTCTTTCTTTCTTTCTTTCTTTCGTTCTCTCTCTATCCTTTCTTTCCTTCTTTCTTTTGTTCTTTCTTTCATTCTTTCTTTTTTGAAGTAGTAGAGTTTGAACTCAGGAACACGTGATTTCTAGGCAGGTACTCTTACCACTTCAGTCTCACCTCCAGCCCACAAAGGACTTTTTAAATAGAAACCCTTTATAAAAAGCAAGGGGGGGGGAGGGGCCTGGAATGCTGTGTTTCCAGTCATGGAAGAAAGTAACTGACAACCTAGATTAGTGTATCCAGCAAAGTCATCTATCATGCTTGAAGCAGATATAATATGATAAACAAAAACTAAAGAAAATCATCACTTGTACACCAGCACTACAGAATGTACTTAAAAGAATTCTACACTCACAAAATACAGGAAAAATCACTTGATCCATGGATAAGGAAATGAGAAGAACAAAATTGAAACCCTACAAATTCAATAAAAACACAGGAATTACTACATGCTTATACATTATTCTGAATGCAAATAATCTTCATGTCCCAACCATAAGAAAGAGTGGAAAACTGAGTTTAAGAAACAAGCTCAATCATTTCTTGCCTACAAGAAAGGTACCTTGCTGGCAAAGACATGGGCTTAAAGTGAAAGGACAGAACAAGAATTTCTGAGAAAATACAAACTGAATCAAATGTGTTCGCGTGCGCGTGACGCACACGCACGTGTGTGTGTATGTGTGTGTGTGTGTGTGTGTGTGTGTGTGTGTGTGTATGACAATCTTACTTCAAACCCAAATTAGATGCTCCAAAGAAGGACACAATATTGATAAGGGGAAAAATCCATCAGGAGGATATAAGACATAAACACATGTGCACTGAATGTTGGCACATCCAGTTTCATAAAGTAAACACTATTGATTATACAAACATATATTATACTCCTTCATAAATACAAGGTGACTTCAATCCACAACTCTGTCATCCAGACAAGTCTAGTGAACATGTAACTTCAAACTTGAATATCACTATAGAGGGAATATACTTAACAGACATTTGCAGAATATTCCACCCCAGAATTTCTTCTTAGCAGCTCAAACATTCTCCAAAATAATGTTTTAGGATATAAGTCAAGTGTTAATAGATAAAATTGAAATGACTTCTTTTGTTTTATTAGACCACAATTGAATAAAGTTAGAGATCAGTATTGAGAAACTATTTCAACCAATATCTCGGCATGGTAACACATTCGGGTCACTTTAGCTATGTTGGAAATGTGAAGAGGATGATCAAAGTCCAGGCCAGTCCAGGGGAAAAATAGACTGTATTATAAAAAAATAACTAAAACAAAAATGCTGTAAAACTTGGCTCAACTATAGCCCAGCAAGTGGAAGAGACTAAGTTCAAATCTGAGTACCATGAAACAAAATAACAATACAGGAAATTAATCAGAGTTTATTATTTGAGAAGGTAAAAAAGATTTTTAAAAATTCTTAGCCAAGCTGAGTGCCAGTGGCTCATCATTCCTGTAATCCTAGTTACTCAGGAGATCTGAGGATCACAGTTTGAAGCCAGCCAGAACAGGAAGACTGTGAGACTCTTGCCTCCAATCAACTACCAAAAGAGCTGGAACCAGACCTGTGGCTCAAGTGGTAGATCACTGGCCTTTAGGCAAAAAAGTTCAAGGATAACACCCAGGCTCTGATTTCAAGAACTAGGACCAGAAAAAAAAGAAACAAAAAAAAGAAGAAATATCCTTAGGCACTCTAAACAAAAGAGAGAAAATACACAATTTACCAAAATTAAAAATGAGAAAGGACATATCACTACAAATATCTATGAAATTTGGGGAATCATTAGTTCAATATTCACTTATATTCTAATAATATGAGAAATCTAGAAGACATGGATAATTCCTAAATGTATATAACTTAATAAATTTAAATTAAACAGAATTCAACAACACAGTAAAAAGATTAGGTAGCACAAACAAGTTGCTTTAATTGCAGGGATGCAAGGACATTTCAATTTATGCAAATCAATAAAAGTAATATAGCACATGAACAGAATAAAGGACAAAAATCATATAATCATCTCAATAAATACAGAAAAATGACAACATTCACTATTCCTTAATTCTCGGGAGAGAAAGAACGTAACTCCATAATGTAAAGGCTATATATAATAAACCTATAGCTAAATCCTACTAAGTGGGAAAAACTAAAAGTATTTCCTCTAAAATGAAGAACAAACCAAGGATGTTGATTCTCCCCAATCATATTATGATTGAACCATTAGGCAGGTGAAAAAAGGAAAAAGAAATAAAAGGGTTACAAGTTGGAAAAGAAGCCA